TATTTTGCTGAATTCACGCACCTACAATATTTAAATGGCAATGGATTATCCGTTTCTGACAAAACGAAACATAAAAGTGGATTATAGTTGAAGGGCCGTTTTGTAGTGAAATATATATATCAACCTTTAGGACACAATGACTTTGTTTGTGCTTGTGATAGTCCAAGTTTTCGTGACCTTCATTTATTTCTTTTTAAATTGACACATAGTATCATAAACATGCTGACAAGAGTGTTTACATTCAGGCTGTGAGCTGCGGTTTTTGATAAGAAGCTGGAGAAGACGTTTTAGCATCCGAGTTACATTATCACTGGACCCATGAAAGATGGGACACTGAACAGCATACTTGGAAGGGTTTTATATTTAACGGTGTAACTTTGCCATGGAGTGATACCTTCTAGAACACAGTGAAATTGACCGAGGAAAATAAAGTACTGCAAGCTTTGTTCGCATTATGTTTACATAGTAATGTCCTTTGCTTTAACTCCTTCTATGAGAAAAACAAAATGACTTTGGAGTGTGAGTTTTGCTTGCATAATTACCAAAGCACCGCGCGCTCAGTGTCTTCCCCCAATTTCTACGACCAGCTGTGCTCCGCCACGCAGGCTGTGTGAGCGACTCACCGAGCAGCACCTGAACACCACGCCGGCTGCGGGTCCCGAGCTCCCCTGAGAGAGCTGAGTGCTGGCCGGGCAGAGCAGGCAAGCGCTGGCCTCCCTCGCAGCAAGCGGGAGAACGTCCATTGTGGCTCAAGCATAAAGCTGCCTTCTGAGAGGCCAGATTCATAAAATATAGTATTTTTTCGTTATCATGATTTTTATATTTTAAGAAGCAGTCCCCAAAATAACAACTCCGGATAGAAACATAAAGTTTGGAATCAGCAGTAGCTTTCTACCTGTTGTATACATGTACTTACATAAGATGTCATCTTAAAAGGAACAATAAGACTAAACACCTGCTTTGGCAAGAGCTATGACCAGTGTTCCATCCCAGATCTCTCCTTCTGTGCAGGCCCCAAAAGCGGGACTTGCTGGGACAGCGACCAGTCCAGGCCTGGTTGAATTCATACAAGAGCAGTGCCAAAACTAAAGAGCAAATCATAAAACAACTTATAATTTATAGTATGTATCAAACTTTTCCAACTCTCCTACTAAATCAGGAGGAAGAGCTGGGTGAGATCAGGTGGGACTGGCTGGGCTGCAGAGGCCTCAGTGAGAATATAAAAGAGGGCAGGAGTAGGTGCTCAGCAGGTATAGAAAGAGCAGGCCTGAGGAACAGAGTGGATGGGAAGCTAAATGAAAAGGGGGAAAATATGGGGTGAGGGAACCCAGTGAAAAACTCACAGGCCCATGTCTGCTAGGTGTTAGAGTGTAGCATGCTGGAAGTGGGGGACCTACTCAGACCAGCAAGGACAGAACAGGAGCAACAAGGGCCTGAGTGCTTATACAACTCTAGAGGAATGCTGGTCTCATGCAGAAGTACCACCAGAGGAATACAGATGCTGTTCCTCTGATGGGGCCTCTGCATGAGACCAGAATTCCTCTAGAATTCTCCTGTGAAGCTGGACCTATTAAGAGGAGGAACATGAAATCTTTCTGCCCTTTTCCTTGTGTCTTTACAACCCCTGTGCCATTGGGGAATCCCTGTCTGGAAGTCTGGAGACTGAAATGTGCCTCCCCTTGGTGATAAAGTCCCCTGCCAGGTATGGCAAGTTTAAGGTGGACCACACTTGCCCCCACTGTCCTCTGCTCTCTGGAAAGAGGGTCACAGGAATTCACAAAGTCTGCCTGTGCTGTGGCCAGGGCCTAACCTGTGATAGTGTACAATGCCCCCTGTATTTTTGCTCCATGACCTTTTTTTTTTTTACTGTTTCCCTTTAGTGGGCTGAAATCCCTCCACAAAAGCTGGGCTTCCTGCTCTCTGTCACATGCTACAGAGGATTTCCCAGTAGCATTTGATCTCTGGAAAAATCACACTCTAGTGTGTTTTCCTCAATTGCTTCTTGATGTCAAGTATTCGTGTGTGTGTGTGTGTGTGTGTGTGTGTGTGTGTGTTTCTGTGTCACCATTGGCCTCCTTTTAGATCTAACCTATCTATTAAAATGTCTCACTGTCTAGAGAGAAGGTGCTACTACAGGCTGAAATTGGGAAAATATGGATGTTTTGTTCCCTTCCTGCACCTACCAAGTCACAGAAGTTACTGAACATGCCTGTGAGCACTGATAATGTTTGAATCCCAATCTAGCTCTCTCTCCTTAGGCAGAGGAGAGAGGGCTTCAAGCTGACTAAATCCCCAGTGCTGCTTCCCTCCACGCAGAGGGAACTACTAGGCACTGTTGCTTCCCTCGCCACTTCCTGGCTCCACTGAGTTCTCCTCCTCAGGCTCTGACTGTCTGGCAGAAAGGCCGGCTCACAGAGTATGCAGAGCTTCCTCTCTCATCAGTGGGCATAGGGTGCATTCCCCTCCACACTGAGAAGCCAGTTATGCTGGGGCTGTGGAACACTGGAATCTCTCTTCTTTTCATACACCATATATCTCAGCTTTAACTGACTGTTAGCTCTCACCATCCTACCTAGTGACGCCTCCCTGCTCAGTCTGCTCACAGAGCTGGGCGTCTGTTGGCTTGGACCAATGTCCAGGAATGCACGACTTCTCTTATGTGAGAAATACGACCTATAAATAACAGCAATAATAAAGGAAAAGAAAAAAAGGTGTGGGAAAACTAGTGCTGCACTTCTCTAATCACAACACATGGCTAACTCAGGCAGGAGGGTAACTGAGGTTTTCTCTCCTCCTGGGCCACAGACTGTATTCAACGCCACCTGGAACTTCACACAAGAGATTTTCTCACATGCTCTGCACCTCAAAAAACAAAACCAGGAGCTAATAATGGGGACACAAGTCTGTAACTTGATCTCTTGGGTATCTGGATGGCGGGTGGTACCACGCGTATGAGCTGATCTAACCCTAAAAATAGGCAGGCATGTCATCTACTTATGAAACCATAGTAATTGCCAACCAAAAGGGATGTAAAAAACAGAGAATATCCTATTAAAGGAGCTTATATGACCCTAAAAGTCTTCCTTGTTGGTCACTGTCCACCATGTGTGAAAATAACAAATATGATCACTTTGTTCAAACCCTCCTGCTCCTGGTAGTATTTGTTTAAATCCTCCTGCTCCTGGTAGTATTTGTCTAACAGCATAGTCGGACAAGAGACTTCTAGTTGAGAAAAAGAATTCTAGTCCAGAGGACAAACACCGTCAAGGAGTATGTCAGAATTTATAACATTTATAGGGGGTTTAAAATGTATTCAGTCTAATACTGGAAATATACATGCATGCACCCACACATGGACATACACATGAAACCAGATACCTAGAATCCAACAAGAAGATCAGGAAAGTTAGGACAGATTGAGAAATAATTATGAACCTGAAAATGAAATAACGTACTTGGCCAGACAGATATAATGTAAAAAAATGGAATGAATAAAAGTATAAAATAGCTGGGGGCACAATCCAATAGTTTAACATTAAGAAGGAAGGGAATAGGAACAATGTGAGGAAAGAATAGTCAAAATTTTAATAATAAGAACCTGAAGAAGGTGCTGGCTGCTCTCAAAGCATCCTGGGAAGCATGACTGTGAAGGAGACCTGCGCTGGGCAGAGAAAGAAATGAGCAATGTAAAAGCATGAAGTGAAATGTGACAAACTGCAAATTTAATTTATATGACTTTGAAAAGGCACTAAAAGAAAATTATAGTGTGGCATTATGATATTAAACCTCATATAAATGTATCATTTATGAGGAAAATAAAAATGTATTTTGAAAGGCTGATTAATGTTCATCATGAAATATTATAGCACAGGTTTTTAATAAGGGTTTGAAATAATTTCCTATTGTTCTCCACTAACTGGGTTCAATCCTAAGCAGCAAAACTGCCCCAAAATATTATTTTATATCATTTTAGGTAATTTTACTATATTATAAGTTGTTAAAATCACAAATTATTACTGCATTAAGAAAATCAAGTATATATCATGAAAAAATAAAAATGCCACAAAATACTATGTAATTTTGTCCCCAAATAATTAAAATAGAATGTGAAATATTACAAACATATTCTGGCTATGAAATTGATGATGAAAAAAGCAAAGTTCTTTAAAGTTACATTATAAGAAATAGGTATAGATTAACTATCTACTTTTAAATTTAAAGTATTTTATGAAAAGTATTCTTACAAATAAGTTATTAGTAATTTGAAAAGCCAAATTTTCCCCAAACTCCACACTAACATGATGGGGAGCAAAAAGGACGACCTCTCCCTCTCTTGTGGGAGAAGATGCACCTGGCACTAAGACCGAGTGGCAGGAGTTGAGCTCTGAATTACTGACCATAAAAGATCCCGACCCAAACTCTTGTGAGCATCAGGGCAAGTACAAAACCACAGGAAATTCATCTTAGAGCATGAACATTGTTTCACCTTGAGGCAGGCTATTCCTGAATATTGCATTAAATTAGGGAAATTGATTCCTAACACAGTTACTGTGAATGCCAGCATCCACCATCTGCTCACTTACTCTTTCCCGTGGCCTCTCCATTAGTGAAGTACAATTATAGCATCGCCGGCTATCCTGTAAGTGCTAGGGAGCAAAACCACGTGGTCGTATTTTCTGGGCTGCATTAGTCGGCTTTTAAAAAGTCATATTTTCATTACATAGCACATTGACCTGATGCTGAGAAAGAGAGCTTGATACCTTAAATTATTTCAGAGAAATAACTTTCATTGCATGAGCTGAGTAGTGACATGAGAAACAACTGGTGGCTTGGGGGCCTGGGGAGATAGGACAGAGGCCTAAGCATCCCCTGGCAAGCTCAAAGTCCTGAGTCTGGGCACGGTGGGTCACTCCTGTAATCCCAGCACAGAGGAGGCTGACTACAAGGGGATCCCTATGAGTCGTATATGCATAATAAGACCCTGAAGCCCATATATTTTAGAAAATTAATAAGAATGATTCTAACCATTGCAATAAAGGAAAATAGCCTAATTTTAATTAAAATGTAAGCATTTTTCAAGTAATATACTGTCTACAGTCACACATTGTCTTGACAAGTTTGCCAGTAACAAATTTTTCAGAATTTTATTGAGAAACAAATAGCAATGAGAGAGTTTCAAATCAAATTGGTAGGACAGTTTCAATAATTAACACATTGAATACATTCTTCCTAATGGTTAATTGCTGTACAAGATGCAGACATGATATTCTATTTACGAACACCATTAGAACAAATCCCTCTATTCATTATGAGAATGTAACTACATGTCTATCCTAACCACCTTGAATACACAGATACAATTTGGACATTCATCTGTATCCCCTTTTTTTGGTTAAGTTCCATTATTTGAATATTATAGGTGTGTAAACTCAATAAAATATTCTAAAAGAGTGCAGTAGCCCATAATAGTATTGGGTCTTCTGCTTGACTGGCAATGTCAGAAATTGTTGGCCTGAGTCCCCTACAGCTCAATATAACAACATGGCTTTACTTCTTATATTTCTTTTATATACTTTTTTGCTGGATGGTTAAGACCAAGGTAAAGCAGGACCTATGCAACAAGAGTTGTAATGTTTGGGTCTGATAAGTTCAGTGAAATCCCCTCAGGATTTATCCTGAGATCCTGTAACTCAGATTGTAGAACCTTTGTCAGTGCCAGCCATGTGGATGAGTCACGGCCATTGCTTGGCCAGTGTGCTCTCTGTGAAAGCCTGAGGGAATGTTTTCTCTCCAGGTGACTCTCCTTAGGCATACTCTACATTATTGATCACTTTCTTCTTTGGACCCATAATCTCCTTGATCAGAAAATTTGCGACACTTCCGAGTTACATGATGTAACAGTACAAGTTCTCATATGTCCTGAGTCTTAATCGACCTTGGAAGGCTAGGGTCAAAAATTTGTCTTCCTTGCAGCCCTCCTTTTTCTCTAATTTGGTCTGCAAACTTAGGTTGTTAACCATCCAGAAGACAAGCTTATTGTTATTACCATACAACTTAGGCTGTTAAACTTAACCTCACTATCTGCATATCAAACATCTTAGGCATAACATGGAACAGGTATTTTTCATCATGTTTTGTTATGTTGAGCTTTAAGTCCCTACAGAATATGATAAGAAATTTGAAAAAATTAGAATATATTTTTAAAATAGACATAAAGAATTATATACTTCTTATGTTTACACATAAGTCCAAAACACTAACGTTGTACAACCTTGAAGCAGGACAGTCCCACAATATTCCTTTTCCTATCTCTTGCCTTCATTCACCAGCCCCTTCTTTTTGAACAACCGTCTACCCGAGAGACATCATAGCAGCAACTGGCATGTCATGACAAGCAGCCCATTGTCAGAAGACCAGAATGACAGGCACTCCAAGAATGAAACTACTATTGCAAATTACCATCTTCAGTGCAGTAGCTTAGTTCACAGGTATCAGTATACATAGTTAGTCAGGATGAGAATCTTTCCAATTAACTTCTAGATTCAAAAATCTTCTGGAGATTCTTAGGATTATTGCTTTGCCCATCTTCTACATATAACTGTATGACTTGAGATTGTCATGTTTCCTAGCTCTTCTTCTTTCCCGCTCTTGATTAGCTAGCCCTCGAGATCCTGCTTTTCTTTTACTTGTATTATACCTTTCTACTTGTATTTCATCTTTTGAGTTCTTATACTAAAGAGACTATATGATATTTACACATGTGTGTCCGATTTATTTCACTTATGAGTATATGTTCAAGTGGCATCCACTTCCATATAAAGGCTTCGAGTTTATCATTCTTAATAGCTGAATAATACTCCATCGTGTAAAAATACCATATCTGCCAGTAACATTTGATAGTGAAAATTTTCTAACTCAGGCACACACACAAAATGAATGAAAGGAAAAATCACAGAAAGATAATCTCTGAGGACAAAGATGAGCTGAAAATGATGAAGTCACTGAAAGATTAATTAATGAGAGATGATCCTAAATAATGCTTAATATGTTGACTATTAAATATTCAATGAAATATTAGTTTTAATTTAAAAGACAAATATCCAGCAATATGTATCACGATAGACCCAAAAAATGTAGGAGAAACAGCAACAATAAATGATAAGTTATGATAGTCATGTACGATAATGAGCAAATTTGTCCCTGATCATGAGCAACTTAGTAAATTTTACAACATTTGAAAGAAGTCCTTAAAGTTTTGAATTTTAAGAACTCTGACATGTCCTACTTCTTAAAATATGGATGTCGCATTTTACTTTAGACAACTAAAATATCAAATGTAAGTTCACATAAATTAATGTAAAATCAAAATAGAAATAATTAGATAATCACACGCTTAGAAAAAGAAATCAATTTAACAATTGTAATTCCACTTTAATAGGAAGTTGCCTGGTAAATGAAACAGTGCACTATAAAATAATCTTAAAATAACAGGAGAAAATTCAAAAGGCAATCATGAAATGTAGGGATAAAATGCTTCAAAAAACAAAGGCAATCTTACTTTTTCTGGAACAAAGCTTAAGGAATGCCACAGGATCAAAATTCATGGTTATTTTTAATGTGCGTTAAAACCTGAGGACATCAGGAGAAAGCCGAGGAGGTGGCCGTCAGAGGAACCTTGTCCCATCACAGCAAGGTGGGGCTCTCACGCGGCTCCTGGAGGACACCTGAAAGGGGTCCTGCCCACAGGTTTTCAGATTGGCAGATTCTCACTTCAGCTTCATGGCAGTAGTGAAGGAGATTTTTAATTTGGCTCAAACATGGAACACATGTGAATCTCACAGGATTTAGATAACCTGATATGACTCAATGTTTAACCTTAAAGTAAGAAAGAATAAAGACCAAACAGGGAGTGACAGGAATTATGGTAAATATGCACAGAGAAATGCTTAAACACCCATCCAGCAAGACGTGCGCGACACTCTCAGTAGAAGGAAATGCTGGCTCATCTTTTAGCTATTTTGCTGTTTGTAAATTAAATTAAATCAAAGGTTTGTAAAAATAAAGGTGTGCTATTCAGAAACACGAGACGGCATTAATTTGAGATATTGTAGGAATCCAAGGAATCCTGGGATATCGGGCAGCATTAATGGATTGTTCCCAAGAGCTCCATCCCCCTTCTGATGGGACGACATGGAGGGATTACGTCTCCCTTGCAGACTGGCGTGCTAGACTTTATTACTTCATGGCATTAGTGTGGGTCCTACCGAAGCAGAGTTTTAGATCTAGAATCTAAACGCTATAGTCATGATTTCTAAGTCGTAGATCCCCCTCAGCCGCTCATTCTATGCAGACGCACCTAAGGATATGACGTGCTTTTACACTATAAAGTTCTATGAAACTTAAGTTTATAGAAATATTATATTTATATACTTCAAAAATTATGAAAATTTTCTCATATTGTAAAAAAGCTTTACAATTACAGCTATTGATATCTGAGACACAACACTTCATTTATTATTCATAATTATGAACATGACAGAACATGTGCCCCAAAATGTCTGAGACAATATTTGATAAGACAAGGATAGATGAAGAGTATTAAAAAAACTTGGGCTATTTTCAGAAAGAAACTAAAGAATTCTCCAGAAGGGAGGTGGGAGGAAGGGTACAAGTGAGACTCTGAGAAATAGTGTTATTTTAGTTGTCCGGAACCATCTCTTTTCCGCAGACTCTAATGGCAGCTTTTTTAACTTCTCTATTCCTGAGGCTGTAGATGAGGGGGTTCAGCATGGGGATCACGATGGTGTAAAACACAGAAGCCACCTGATCCTTGCCCAGGGAGTAGGACTGTTTAGGTTTCAGGTAAGTGAACAGTGTAGTGCTGTAAAAGATGGTGAAGCCCAGCAGGTGGGAGGCACAGGTAGAGAAGGCTTTTTGCTTTCCTGCAGTGGAGTGAATTTTCAGGATAGTGGAAAGGATGGACATGTAAGATCCAGTTATGGTGACAAGGGACACTACTAAGGTAGAACCAGCAAAAGTGAATATAATGAGTTCAGCCACATAGGTGTCACTGCAAGACAGGGCTACAATTGGGGATGTGTCACAGAAAAAGTGACAGATGAGTGTGGAATTGCAGAATTCCAAGTTGCTCATAAAAACTGCATTCACACAGGATTCTATGAAAGAAATTGTATAGGAGCTCACAAGCAGAGCCTGGCACAGTCTAGGGGACATAATGACTGGGTAGTGCAGAGGGCTGCAGATAGCCACATAGCGGTCATAGGCCATGCAGGAGAGGAGAAGGCATTCCGTGCTACCCAAGAAGATAAAAAAGAACATCTGCATGAAGCAGCCGAGGAATGAGATGCTCTTGGTGGAGGACACTAAGTCCTGTAAGGTTCTAGGGGTGATGACACTGGAGTAGCTGAGGTCGAGAAAGGACAGGTGAGTGAGAAAAAAGTACATGGGCGTGTGCAGCTGGGTGTCCAGGCGGATGAGCAGGATCATCCCTGCGTTCCCCAGGACCGTGACCAGGTAGATGAGGAGAAAGAGCAGGAAGAGGCCCAGTTGGGTCTTTTCAGAATCGGCCAGCCCCAGGAGGATGAAGTCAGGCACATTCGTGAGCTTCTGTGTTTTCATGGTGTAGTGTTTTTAACTATGGAGAAATAAAAATTCATATGTAGCAAGAGTGATTTAAAAAATGTTTTGTTGCCATGAATTCCTGGCATGTATTTTCTTTACTCTACCAATTCCAAAAATAAAAAATAACATGTTGAAGCTGAACAAAAATATTCAAATATCAGAGTAGTATATAGACATGAATTGACATTTGCTTATGATAATATAATAAGATGTTAAATCATGTGTGATTGGCTGGAACATGATGCCAGTCTAAATGCTCTCATTATTCATCCATTCAGCCCACTCAAGTTTCCTGCCATAGTCACTATTACACAGGAAGTTTTAGGTCACATGAAGACCACAGGAAAGATCTTTTGGGAAAGTGGACTAACTGCTTCTATGACTGGAATTCTACCGAGGTATTTTGCCTTCTGCGTGCATAGTAACCACTGTGTATTCCTCTTATAACTTATTGTAGCAAAACTGAGAAAAGGGATATAATATATTACTGTGAAAATACCTTTCTCTTTTTCTCCTTTAGTTCCTAGTGCTATTTGTCATGCATGACAAAGCCGTTTCACATTTTAGGAAAAGTCAGTGAGGTGCAGGTGGATTATACACCACCAAAAATATGGATTTGATGAATTCTTGGAAAATAAGGGGGTAAATTAACTTTCTAAACATGAAGATATTTCAAACAACCAGCTGCTGCTCCTGCCAGAGGCTGTTTATGCCCTTAGTTTCTGGAGGCCACTGCTTTCTAAAGGAAGAATAAACAAAAATTAAGCTTTGAGGTTGTGTGTTGCTGGGCTGATTACATCTCTGTTACATTTACATTCCTGTTGTGTATATATTACAATTACTGTGTTACGCTTTACAGATAGGAGTATGTATATTCTCATAAAATCTTATTAAAATGTATGCTTTCTAAAACAAATCAATTTTCAATATGTCAATTACTACGAGTCAGTGATGGTTAAATTCTTTCTAAATATTTTCTATTTAGAAATTTGAAAAGTTTTACGTTATTCTGAAATAAATTATAGTAACAATGTAAGGAGTTAAGACATTCTTGGCTATTTCATTTCCCTGATATAAGTTGTTTTTATCCTTCTGATATAAATCACTTACAGTTTTGTGCATTTTACTTTTTTAATTCGGTGGCGCTTTCCATCACCCTAGAGGGTTTCCTCGGGTGTTGTTCAAGTGTATACGCGAGTCGGGGCTGAAGCGTACTTACTGTGAAGTCTCGCAGAGCGGTGAGCACCTGTGAATTTAAGCAGAGCCTGAGTCCCTGGTTTCCATCCTTGGACCTGCAGGGTGCCCCGCGCAGTCGCGCTCAGGGAAGGGCCGCGTCTGCTCCTCTGGGGCCGGGACGTGAGAACGAACCCTGGGCATGATTCCAAAGGCAGTGTCTGTGAGAGCCAATGAGCCAAAGTTTTTCCATGTTCCCTGTAAAGTTCCACATGGAAGAGTATAAGCAGAGCTCTCTTCACACTGTAAATTTCTGATGAACTTTGTCTTTTAAATGACATAATTATTTAAATCTTTACAGAAAAATGCTTGTACTCTTCTTTACACCACTCAGTGGTATTCTGCCAGGATTAATTTAGGTTTTGGTTTTTATTTTGGGGAGGGTGTTTTTGTTGTTGTTTTTTACAAGCTGAGCATAGATTAAATTTTCAGGCATATGCTTGTGTTATGACTGACATTATCATGAGTCTAATGATAAAAGTTTTCATCAGGAAAGAGTTGGTAAACAGATGTAGGATTCCACTGATTTTGATCCCTGGTACAAAAATCAAAACAAAAAAAAAAAGAGGTGTTGAAAATAGGCATGAGTGCCTGCCTGGAAAGCACAAGGTCCTCAGTTAGAGATGATAATGAACATCAGGATAATCCAAGTAATATAAATTAAATATAACTTCCAGGCTGCTAGTTATTCAATATTAGCAGTTTTGGTTCTCTACATTCAAAGATTGTATTGTAGCAAAAAGGCAGGCTAACAGTTGGAAGTATTTATTGAGAGAAAGATATATTCTAACAGAGATAAAGGGGATCGGAAGTATGTGGCATGGGACACTCTTTTCAAGAGAATTTTATAGAGCAAAACCTGGACCTGAGATGAAAATAAGAGGGGATAAGACTATGGCCAAGCCACAAGAAGAAAGTGTAGCCACTTAGGTGATGTTGATTACCTGCAGGAATAAGGGGTCAGCAAGTCACAAAGCAAAGGTCCTTGCAATGAACAAGGACCGTCCCCACAGGAATGCGCCAGGGAGGATTGACTCCACCCCAGGTGGCTGGCGCCTCTTTAGAATGTAGATGAATGTTGTTCATCTGCAGCAGAAGTAAGTGTGTGTCATCATTTGTCTTTGTC